ACTCGTAAGTACTAGGAAGCAGCGATTGACGGGGTACCCGGTAGGGGTGCCAGGCAGTCTGTCACACTTATATTCAAACACACAAATACTGCTCATTGCTAAATACAACCCTGCAAGCATGGGAAAATGGTAGAGCCCCAGCTGTCAAAGCATTGTTGGAGTTGCACGACAGATAGGGAATTACCTTCTGGCCACCCTTGCTATTGGGGGCCCAAAACAACTCTTGCACCAGGGCTACTTCTACTTTAGTTCGTCACTGCTTTGGGGTGGAGGGCTTGATTGCATGCCAGGGAGTGAGGGGAGGTGGCAGGGGCAGGTCCAGGGGGCCCAAGCAAATGCTTGTGCAATCAATTTTAATGACGGCCCTGGTGTGGATGAATATCAGGGTTTATGAATGGGATTAATGGGTGTGGAAATATGTCTGGGGATAATGAATATTGATGGCTTGGGCTAATTGGTATGTATAGATGGATGGGGGTACTGAGTGTGGATGGAATGAAACATGCTGAAGAATTGCACTGTGAACATGTATATCCACTCTCTCAGCTGCCTGATTTTTTGGGGGATAATTGCATCAGTGCAACATGATTGGGTAACGTGCTGGTGCCGACATGTTTCACTATTTTTACCTTTTTGCAACAGATCTTATCGGTAGAAGATTGTGTGGGGTATTTGCTTAAAGAGACACTATTATCACCAGAACAACTACAGCTTATTGACACCTAATTTCATTAGATTATTTAATCAATATTGTTCCACAGGTGTCATGCTGGAGGAAGCTTCGAATGCACAAATGATAACATTGCCTAAACCTGGTAATAAATCTAACGTTTGTCCAAATTTTCTCCCAATTTCATTAATAGATAATAACACAAAAATCTATTCAAATATATTGGCCAATCATTTAGCTGAAAGCAGGGTCGATCCTAGGGTCACTGACACGGGTGCGAGAATATTTTTGGTGCCCCCAGGTAAGGGTGGTTATATCGCCATCTCCTCCCCTTAACAATAATAACACTTCTAACCACACTCATTTTCTAAGGAAACCATTTCACCTCTTTGGACCCCCCAACTTTACAAGATAACGTGTCACTCACTTGCTACAGTGCCAGCTGTTCCCCCGAAAAGCTTATCAGTGCCATCTTTGTGTCCAACTTCCCAGTGTCTGTTCTGTCCCCACACATCTTACCAGTGTCTCCTTTGTCCCAAAATAGCTAATCAGTGCGTGGGGTGGATTCAGCACCTAATCTCAGAAGGGGCACTGATAGTGGGCTGTTGTGGCCTGATAGGGGCTTTAACTAAGGAGTTAGGAGTGGTAGTAAGGGACTAGGGGCTGTAGTAAGGGGTAGGAGCTGTTGTGGAGAGGTAGGAGCTGTAGTGGAGGGTATGGGCTGAAATTAGTGGGTTAGAAAATGTAGTGCGGGGATAGGTACTGTAGTAGAGGGTTAGGGACTGAAGTGTGGAGATGGTTGCAAGTGGGGAAAGGGACTGTAGTGTGGGAGGTAATGTCTGTAATTTGGGGTTATGACATTAGGTCTGTAATGGTGTATAGGGGCTGCAATTGGTGGTTATGGGCTGATGTAAGGATGTTAGGGGGCTGTAGTAGGGGAGTTAGGGGCTGCAATTTGGGGTTATGGGGCTTTAGTAGGGGAGAACAATAAACTGTAGTTTATTCCCCCCTCTCTGATCCTTAGCTTGGGTTAGGGAGGCAGGAATCCTGATTCCTGGTGGTCCCTGGCGCTGAGTGCGGAGCCTAATTTGGGAGTAGAGCCTAATCCGTACACCCGCCTAGGATTGGCTCTGTTCCTGGTAGTGTAGCTCATAATGTGCAGCACTCTGTTTAACACTGACCCTACAGAAACCTTAATTTATCATCGTGCGAGCTTCCTGACTGCATTGTGGTTATCATTTATATATGCTCTCAATGTCGCCTTGTAAATGGTGATAAATTATCAGTGGTTTTAATTGCTAAACTATATGTATGTGTATTGCCATTTCTATTTTTGACTTGCACACCAAACTTATTTTTTTTTTTTTACAAATAAAAAAAGTATAATACAAATAAATTGGTGATGAAATAAAAAGCATTGAAAAAGACTCAGTTTGTCTTATTTTGCAAACAAAATGCCACAATGGGAATAAAGTACTGTTCGGGAATGCAATTTTTTTTTAAAAAAATCACGTGGGTCCGATAAAACAAATTGTCAAAATTGCAACACTGAAAATGACACGACCCTAATGTAACCCTATAACTTCCCATAAATAAAAAGCTACAGTATGTACTCTAATGGTACATGGTAGGTCTGTGAAATTCACCTTGAATTGAAATGTCTCTGTGGAAAGCACAAAGTGTTAACTATATAACACGCAGTTCTGGCAGAGATTATTAATACAATGGTTGAATGAAAAGTATCAAAATGCTCTTAGTTAAATCCCCTGATGGACGGCTCTAACTTTTACATTTATTTACTTTGTATAGCACTATTGAATTTGGTGATTGATGTTAAACGTATAGTTCACTGATGATACGTTTTGCAAATATTTAGTTTTAAAATTATAATTCACTCCTTGCAATATTTGCAATATAACTTTCGAAAAATAAATGAAATCATAGACACGTCAATTCAAAATAAAAAATATAGCAGGTGAATGTGGTACCTGAAAGATTCGATTGCCCCTATGCTGCCAAATATAGCCATTAGCAGTATCACTGTTTGATTCTCACAATGCGATTTACAGTATGAAGCCAGGACAAATAGCTAAAAGTGCTAATAGCATATTAAGGATGCACAAGTTTCACTCCACGTTTATTTGGAGTAGCAATATGGAACATAAATGTTTTCTGATAATTCTTTATGAAAGTACAATAATGGCTTTGTACATAATTAAAGGGGATTTCACCTGAAACATTTATGATTTTCATTGTTTCTCCAAATACATGTGGGGTAACCTGCTGTGATAGTAATTACAGAAAACACAGATGGTTCTCAGTCTGCCAGTGAGTATGGATCCTTTCAGAGTTATGCACTAAAGTGAGAATTACTGGGAGTTAAAATTGAACTTCACATTCGAGGCAAAAAAGCAGAAATGGAGACATTCTCCAAGACAGCTATGCTTCCAATTTGGCTATTTTGTCCTTAAATTGAAATTTACTTTAAAGCCATACTGTAGTGAATAACCCAGAAAATGTTCATCAAATATGTGCCTTGGTTTTAACAACATTAAATGAATACTTTGCAGTAGTGATGGTACTAGGAGTGCCCTCGCACACTCCCAGTGTAAGTAGTCAAAGAAGGAGCTTCCATTAACTTCACTTTTTTAAGCCTGCTGGCTGAGGGAGTCAGCTGAGCTCTCTCAACCAATGAGCTGAGCCCTGGACCACTGGTTTAGCTCAATGCAGGAGATTCTGGGCCACAAGTGGATGTTCCCTGTCACAAAAAGTTTGACTACTTATCCTGAGAGGGCAGTAGGGCACTACAGGTACTATAACCACTGCAGACTGCTGGTGCTTGGAGGATTCCTTTAAGGGATTGTGTACTATACAGCTACAAAGAAACCAAGGGATGAGGCCTTAGGATGGTGTCTGTGAGATATAGTATGGACTGAATCTATAGTTATATTTGAAACCTAGCACCGGCCACGGAAATAAAACACTCCAAAGAACAAACCGACATCAGTATAACAGGATAAATTTAAAAAATATATACTTTATTGTTTTAATAAAATTAACAATCTACAAAATATGTGTGTAGGAAAACAAAAGTGGTTCTGATAAGTGTGAAGGCCAGTGAACCATGCATGTTGTTAATGTGAGTTTCACTGTGTATTTTATTTGGCAATGATGAAACTACCAAGTGTAATTCTAAATCATGTTTTTATGCCACCGTTAATGTGTTTGTTTCATAACATGGGATTGCCTTTGTATCTGAATAAATAATTTGTTTGCTCAAGTGTTAGAGCTGCCGATAGGCAGTGTATGACTGTTTGTGTTTGACTTTGCAGGATTGTCTGAATTTGTCTTTGATAAATGTTTGTGCTTGTGTATATGTGTTTCTTTGTGCATAAAAGTTGGTGTTGCTGCCTGAATGATTTTGAATGTATTTATGTGAAGGAACCTGCAGCCTTGTCCCTGTTCATACGTTGTGTTTATCCATGTGTCCCTGCAATGAGTAGTCTTTTTGTTTGTTTCACTGCTCTTTTCGTCTAGATTCCAGTTCTACCTCTTTATGAATTTGCTCTATTGTTTTCGGTCCCTGAGGTGTATGTCGAGGTACCCAGTTATTTTTTCTTAATTCCATCACATCCTGCACCAAAAATCGAATCCGCGAAGAGGTTTTCTGGTTTTTAATAAAGATGTCAATCTTGCTGATATAGTTGTCCAAGCGACACTGTCCATTTTCCAAGGATTTTCCAATTGTAGTGAGCAAAAGGCAGATACATTCGATGGACTCCTCGCTGTTCCTGTTTAGTAGTTTCATTAGGCAGTCTTTCATGGTGTCTTCAGAGAGAAATTTTAGCTTAAATAGCTCCCCAATAAATTTGATGTTTCCTTGGTATCGCCTGCGTGCTTTATTACAAGCATCACTTAATTCGTCTTTTAGTAGGGCCTTTTCCCTCGGTGATGTGGCAGCATCCAGTTCCTTTTGCAGTTTCTCAGTTTTTTCATTCCCATTTTCAACTTTCTCAAACTCCTTCTGGCAGAGTCTTATTAGCAGCCTACGGAATGTAATGCTTTCTTCAGGGTTGTCTTCCGTTGGGACCTCAAGCATCATTAGCCAGTTGCACATGCTGGCGTATACAACAGCAAAATGTGGCTCTGCTACTGCTTTTTCAAAGATGACTTCTACAACACCTTTCAGTTGATATTCTGTATGTATAGAGAGGTCTTTCACCTGCTTGGTTAAGTGCTGGAATGTCTGAGGTGTGATTTTATTTAGAATGCTGCGAACTTTGCGAACCAATTCTTGAGCCTTGGCAAGAGTGTGATCTTCATTTGCTCTTTTCATGGGAGGTTTCCAAGCCTTTTCAGATGTATGCGGTTTTATATTCTCACTTACTTGAAGGATTTTGCGAAGTTCTGTACTAGGAGCTTGCGGGGACCTCATTTGGCCCATTCCACATGGCAGTCTGTAATTATCCTTAGCAGGGTGGATGAAATTTGCAGTTAGAGGTGTACATTTCCTGTTGGTAAATCGTGATGGATCTACTGGTCGAAGGTGAGGTCTAATGAGCATACCTTGGTAGAGTTTTGCAATCTCAGACAAATCCCTTGGCTCTTGTGTTATAGATTTGAATTTAAGTAAAGATTCCCTGTCATAGTGTATCCTTTCCACCTTTGATTCAATATTTTTCTTCTCTTGGAGTACAGGTACTGGAAGGTCTTGACTTTTCTTTCGAACTATATCAGCCTCACCAGGTGGCTCTTTTTCTTTGTCTTCTGGCAATGGCTGCTCTTCATGGTCACTGCTCAGACACACATGTTTTCCTGGCTGATTATTCTTCATCTCAGTTTGTTCCTGCTCAGGCGTAACCTTTTGATTGAATAGAAGCAACTCCTCTGGCTGAACAGTGGGGCAATCCAAAGTAGTTTTGGAGTGATAACTCACAATGTCAGAGCTTACTGGTAACTCCTCTAACATTTCACCAGTGCTTGATTTGGCAGGACAAACTGGGCCCACTAGAAGAATACCTGGATCTTGATCTTTGACAGCTTCCCGAGAATGTAGATTCATAGGCTCAGGTTGACAATCCAAAGTGGACTGTGGCTGACCAAGGTTTACAGGCAGCTCCTCTAACATTTCACTAGTGCCTGATTTGGCAGGACAAACTGGGCCCACTAACAGAATACCTGGATCTTGATCTTTGACAGCCTCCCGGGAATCTAGGTTCATAGGCTCAGGTTGACAATCCAAAGTGGACTGTTGCTGACCAAGGTTTACTGGCAACTCCTCTATCAATCCACTTGTATGAGGTCCGATAGTAGTAACAGGGCATTCTAGAGAAGTGTTGTCTTCTAGATGTGTGATAACCTCTGTAGGCTCTAGAGAGGTAGGCTGTAGTAAAATAGCTGTAACTGGGTTCTGAGAATCTAGATTTGTAGGCTCACATGGACAACCTAAAGTGGACTGTGGCTGACCAAGGTTTACTGGCAACTCCTCTGTTAATCCACTTGTATGAGGTTCGATAGTAGTAACAGGACATTCTAGAGAAGTGTTGTCTTCTAGATGTGTGATAACCTCTGTAGGCTCTAGAAAGGTGGACTGTAGTAAAATAGCTGTAAATGTGTTCTGAGAATCTAGATTTATAGGCTCAAGTGGAAAATCTAAAGTGGACTGTGGCTGACAAAGGTTTACTGGCAACTCCTTTGTCAATCCACTTGTATGAGGTCCGATAGTAGTAACAGGGCAATCTAGAGAAGTGTTGTCTTCTAGATGTGTGATAACCTCTGTAGGCTGTAGAGAGGTAGGCTGTAGTAAAATAGCTGTAACTGGGTTCTGAGAATCTAGATTTGTAGGCTCATGTGGACAACCTAAAGTGAACTGTGTCTGACCAAGGTTTACTGGCAACTCCTCTGTTAATCCACTTGTATGAGGTTCAATAGTAGAAACAGGACATTCTAGAGAAGTGTTGTCTTCTAGATGTGTGATAATCTCTGTAGGCTCTAGAGACCTTGCCTGCAGCAAGTGACAGGGAATATCCTCTAGACTTGTGACCGCTTCAGGCTGTGGAATAATATTGTGTTTACAATACTCTGCAGAATACTTTTGTTCATTTTCCAGTTCTTTTTTGTCTACTTCTTTTTCTTGGACATTTGTAGCCTTTTTAGTTGTTTTATATTGTTTTGGAAGTAATTTAGGCTTTACCTTAGAGAATAGGAATAGGTCTCTGCAATTAAAAAATAGATAAAGTTAAAATACAGTTGTAACAATTATATCCTTTTCTCCCTTTCCATCCATCAGCCCATTTTGTCACTTATCTTATTCCTCTTCAGCTTTCCTCTCACTTTCAGTCCATCAGCTACCCTATCACTCGTTATCTATCAGTCATTATTGCACAGCTTATAGTGACACTATCAGATCATTTATGTTACGCACATTACATTCTGGTTACAGTAATTCCAGTAAATATTCTAATTTGTACCATTAAAGCTTCTGTTTATATTAAAATACATATCATATAGAAATTAGGTAATGCCTGGTAAGTCACTTTCGGTAGTATTTCCTAGTGATTTGTGATCACTGTATCTGTGGTTCTTCTCTCATTGGTTTCCTATGTACACAGCCAGCCAGTAAGAGAACCAAGATATTGGTTTACTGAGGACACTGAAGGTTTATTTGGATAACCTTATTGGATTATGGTCAGTCATTCTGTGTCTCATGATACACTTACCTAGGTGGCCGAGCACATGTCATTAGTTGGTTAGTTTCTCGTGGAGTCACCCGAATATAGTATGGTACATCGGGAATCTCCTCCTCTTTTCCATATCTGACATAGTTATTATAATGTCTAAAGGGTTTGAAGAAAAACACACAAAAAAACAAAAGGTCAGGCTAATTCTTCCAGCACCCGGTGGAGAGGCTAAAATCTCAATTTGTTAAAACAAACATCAACAATAGAAAACAAAAAGATGTCTCCCCTTTGATTAATGTGATCACACAGTATTTACCTTTTATCAAGCACAGCAAATTTAGATGTAACAGAAGGGGGCAAGCAAAGTCTCTTTGTGGTTTTTTGGCAACATTTTAGACTTTCTTCCACAAACCCCTCATTCTGTTCCTGTGGCTCCCATCTCTTCCCTTTCTCAAGATCTGGAGAGATTTCCAGATTAGGTGATACCTGGGGGAATGTCTGGGGCTCTGCTTTAAGTGGTAGCCTGTTTAGGAAAGAAAGACTGATTATTGGAGTTTCATATTTCACGTTTGATGTTATATTTCTGGAATAACTGAGTGTGTTTAGGAAATGATAGAAGAAGCCATTATATATTACAGGTTATTATTTGACTCATATTGTAATGATTAAATTTTCCAATTTGAGATTTGTGATGTTGACTCAGAAAGACCATTGACATCTTTCTCTATCTGTGGATCTTCTCTCATTGGTTTCCTGTGTACACAGACAGCCAGTGAGAGAACCAGGGTATTGGATTACTGAGGACACTGAAGGTTTATTTGGATAACCTTATAGGATTATGGTCAGTCATTCTGTATCTCATGATACACTTACCTAGGTGGCCGAGCACATGTCATTAGTTGGTTAGTTTCTCGTGGAGTCACCCAAATATAGTATGGTACATCGGGAATCTTCTCCTCTTTTCCAAATCTGACATAGTTATTATAATGTCTAAAGGGTTTGAAGAAAAACACACCAGAAAACAAAAAGGTCATTAATAAATTGATGTTATATCTCTGGAATAACAGAGTGTGTTTAGGAGATGATACAAGAAGCCATTAGATATTATGCATTGCTATTTGGGTTGTATTGTAATAATTAAATTTTCCAATTTGAGATTTGTGATGTTGGCTCAGAAAGAGCATTGACATCTTTCGCTATCTGTGGTTCTTCTCTCATTGGTTTCCTGTGTACACAGCCAGCCAGTAAGAGAACCAAGATATTGGTTTACTGAGGACACTGAAGGTTTATTTGGATAACCTTATTGGATTATGGTCAGTCATTCTGTGTCTCATGATACACTTACCTAGGTGGCCGAGCACATGTCATTAGTTGGTTAGTTTCTCGTGGAGTCACCCGAATATAGTATGGTACATCGGGAATCTTCTCCTCTTTGCCAAATCGGACATAGTTATTATAATGTCTAAAGGGTTTGAAGAAAAACACACCAGAAAACAAAAAGGTCATTAATAAATTGATGTTATATCTCTGGAATAACAGAGTGTGTTTAGGAGATGATACAAGAAGCCATTAGATATTATGCATTGCTATTTGGGTTGTATTGTAATGATTAAATAATTCAATTTGAGATTTGTGATGTTGGCTTAGAAAGAACATTGACAGCTTTCTCTATCTGTGGTTCGTCTCTCATTGGTTTCCTGTGTACACAGACAGCCAGTGAGAGAACCAGGGTATTGGTTTACTGAGGACACTGAAGGTTTATTTGGATAACCTTATAGGATTATGGTCAGTCATTCTGTGTCTCATGATACACTTACCTAGGTGGCCGAGCACATGTCATTAGTTGGTTAGTTTCTCGTGGAGTCACCCGAATATAGTATGGTACATCGGGAATCTTCTCCTCTTTGCCAAATCTGACATAGTTATTATAATGTCTAAAGGGTTTGAAGAAAAACACACCAGAAAACAAAAAGGTCATTAATAAATTGATGTTATATCTCTGGAATAACAGAGTGTGTTTAGGAGATGATACAAGAAGCCATTAGATATTATGCATTGCTATTTGGGTTGTATTGTAATAATTTAATTTTCCAATTTGAGATTTGTGATGTTGGCTCAGAAAGAGCATTGACATCTTTCGCTATCTGTGGTTCTTCTCTCATTGGTTTCCTGTGTACACAGCCAGCCAGTAAGAGAACCAAGATATTGGTTTACTGAGGACACTGAAGGTTTATTTGGATAACCTTATTGGATTATGGTCAGTCATTCTGTGTCTCATGATACACTTACCTAGGTGGCCGAGCACATGTCATTAGTTGGTTAGTTTCTCGTGGAGTCACCCGAATATAGTATGGTACATCGGGAATCTTCTCCTCTTTGCCAAATCGGACATAGTTATTATAATGTCTAAAGGGTTTGAAGAAAAACACACCAGAAAACAAAAAGGTCATTAATAAATTGATGTTATATCTCTGGAATAACAGAGTGTGTTTAGGAGATGATACAAGAAGCCATTAGATATTATGCATTGCTATTTGGGTTGTATTCTAACGATTAAATAATTCAATTTGATGTGTAAAACCTTTGACACGTCTGGAATAATTACATCCTGCATTTCAGCCCAGGATAGTGCTGGGGTCTCAAAACACATTTAATAAAGGGGCATTATTGTGTCAGAAAAACAAATATGTATTCCTGACACTATAGTTCTAATATTACTATTTAGTGCCTCAGCCCCCTGTCAGGAAAGTAAAAGGGTTTAAACTCACCTTTTTCCAGCGCCACGCAGGGCTCCATCCCTAAACTGCCTCCTTGGCTGATAAACAGAATTGATGATCTCAGCCAATCCAATGCTTTACCTTTAGAAAGCATTGGATTGACTGAGTTAGTAAATTTTAATGATCCCAGCCAAGAAGGCATGCTGGGGGCGGAGGCAACGCTGTCCTGGCCAATCATAAATTGATGCATCTCGAAGAGGAATGCTCAGTGTCTTCATGAAGCGCGTGGAGACGCTGAATGTCAGTGCTGCACACTCTGCAGCATTGCCACAGGAAGCACCTATAGTGGCTGCCTGAGTGATTGCCACTGTAGGTGTCCCTAGGGAGCAATGTAAACACATTTTGTACATTAAGCTGTAGTTGTTCTGGTGTCTATAGTGACCCTTTAATTCATATATATTTAACTTTTCTTTTTTTTTTTTTTTTTAACACCCTTGTATATCATGCCTGTTTATTTTATTTCAATTTCCATCACTACAAATGAGCTAGGCTGCACACATTCATGGATTTGATCTTTTTTTTTATCTCATCTGTTTAGAAAAATAGCTAAAAGGTGTAACTCAAATTCAATTTTAAGCATTTTACCGCATAGATTACTACTATTCATTTAGAGATAACATTATTAAATCTACTGTAAAGTTCTGTTATTTAAGGAAATTATGCCCATTAACAAACCAAACTTTATTCTAATCTCTATCGAACTCTGATCCCCATCTTCCAATAACCCCATTTAATATACCTGCAGCAATTGTCCACTTACCTGTCCGTAGAAGGCCGATAAGGAATATCCTCTAGACTTGTGACAGGTGCAGGCTGTAGAATATTATCCTGTTTATGACACTCTGCACAATAATTTACACTTTCAGCCTTTTTAGTTGTTTTGTATTGTTTTGGAAGTAATTTAGGCTTCACCTTAGAGAATAGGAATGGGTCCCTGCAATTAAAATAGGAAACGTTAAAATACAGTTCTAACAATTATATCCTTTTCTCCCTTTCCATCCATCAGCCCATTTTGTCACTTATCTTATTCCTCTTCAGCTTTCCTCTCACTTTCAGTCCATCAACTACCCTATCACTCGTTATCTATCAGTCATTATTACACAGCCGTTAGTAACACTATCAGATCATTTATGATACATACATTACATTCTGGTTACAGTAATTTCAGTAAATATTCTAATTTGTACCATTAAAGCTTCTGTTTATATTAAAATACATATCTTATAGAAATTAGGTAATTCCTGGTAAGTCAAGTTGCTGTAGTACTCCTCAGAAATTTGTGATGTTGGCTCATAAAGAACATTGACATCTTTCTCTATCTGTGGATCTTCTCTCATTGGTTTCCTGTGTACACAGACAGCCAGTGAGAGAACCAGGGTATTGGATTACTGAGGACCCTGCAGTTTTATTTGGATAACCTTATAGGATTATGGTCAGTCATTCTGTGTCTCATGATACACTTACCTAGGTGGTCGAGCATAACGAATTTCCAAGTTGGATTTTTTTGGAGTCACCCGAATATAGTATGGTACATCAGGTTTCTTCTCCTCTTTTCTATATCTGACATAGGTATCATAATGTCTAAAGCTTTTGAACAAAAACACAAAAACAAAAAAGGTCAGGCTAATTCTTCCAGCACCCAGCCTAGAGGTTATTATCGCAATTTGTTAATGTGATCATATAGTATTTACCTTTTATCAAGCACAGCAAATTTAGATGTAACAGAAGGGGGAAGGCGACGTCTCTCTGTGCCTTGTTGGCAACATTTTAGAATTTCTGCCACAAACCCACCATTCTGCTCCCGTGGCTCCCATCTCTTCCCCTTCTCAGTTTCTGGAGAAATATCCAGATTAGATGATAATTGGGGGAATGTCTGGGGCTCTGATTTAAGAGGTAGCCTGTTTAGGAAAGAGAAAATGATTAGTGAAGTCTCATATTTCACACATTTGATGTTTTGTGTTTGAAATAACTGAGTGTGTTTAGGAAATGATAAAATAAATCATTATATATTATGCATTGTTATTTGGGTTGTATTGTAATGGTTAAATAATTTGATTTAATGTGTAAAACCTGTGAAATTCTTCAAGACTCATTTCATCACAGGATGGTCCTGTCTGATTATGGACTCAAAACACCTTTATTAATTGCTATATATTTTCCTTTTTTTTTGCACCCCCGTATATAATGCCTGCTTATTTTATATCAATCACTACAAATGGGCTAAGCTACACACATTGTTGTGTTCATTTTTTATCTCATCAGTTAAGAAAAATAACAAGTATCAAACACAAATTCACATTTTAAGGATTTTACTCCCATTCATATAATGACAACACAATTCAATCTACAGGAAAGCTGTGTTATTTATAGAAATGATGCCCATTAACAAACCATCCTTTATTCTACTCTTTATCAAACTCTGACCCCCATCTTCTAATATACCTGCAGCCGCTATCCACTTACCTGTCCGTAGAAGGCTGGATGTTTGGCTGTTTTCTGAATTCTTTTTTAGTAGAATTCCTGGGTGGGGGTTGAGTACCCGCCAGCCATGAAACCAGGGGACGTTCAATCGTAGAAATAACCTTACCCATTGTCTCTGTAAATCATCTCACTGCAATGAAACTGCTTGTGAAATGCCAGTATCAACAGCAGTAACAGGGTTATGTGTTATCTGCTCAGTGACATCACAATGTGTTATCTGGTTTGTGACATCACAACAGAACCTGTTGATCTATGATGTAGTAAAAATGGCTGACTGCATGATGTCTATGGAAATGAAATCCAATTGAAAATTAAAATAGCATTTAAATGACAGGCAAATAAACAACCTAATTTTTCAAGTTGTGGTTGTGGCTTTAAGGGATACTCCAGCCACCATAACACCTTCATCACAATAACGTTGTTATGGTGTGATGAGGTCCATGGCACCATCTCACCTTAAGGTGTTAAACCATTAACAGTTTAACCCCAAACACTTCCTCTAAAGGTCTGAAGCCTTGGACTGGGTGCCGCTGACAGGGCCAGTGCTATCAGAAGGTGTGACAGATGGCCACCTTAGGACACATCGGCCCGGGGATGAAAATTTCCGTATGACCTGCCGGAGGAAAGCACAAAGCATGGAGGCCTTGATGGAAGGAATTCAGTCTGCCGTTCGGGAGAGAGGACTCACTTGGCTTCAGGACTGCCTGACTTCGATGGCTCCCAGGGCCGGGCCTTCTTCAGCGCCGTCACGCCGGCCCACGAGGTGGACAAGGCCGCCCCAGCGTTTGAGCCCCAGTGCAGTTCCCAGGAGGCGACAGAAGAGGAGACCAAAGGCAGGGCCTGCGGATGGGAGCGGAGTCAGGGGTCAGAGACAGAGCGGGCTGGCACGTGACCAGGAGGGCGCAAAGTGAGGGGAGCTAAGACATCAGGGCGGGCCATGCGCGTGCAGGCCAAAGAACTGCGCGGCTCCCGAGGGGGTAGGCCCCATGAGGGACAGACTGACAGGCCATGGTTAGCGCCCCTGCCATCAGTACGGGCAGGACGACAAGTTTGGGGGCGACACCTAGGTCGACAGCGGGTACAGGTGATGGAGCCCCCCAGGAGGACAGAAAACGCATAATATATATAGCACGTATACAGCCCAGGAAAGTCTTCGGCAGCTAGAGGTATCAGAATCAATGAGACTGAATCGCTGAAACCTCCATAAAGACTGCTGCATCTGGGGTTAGAGCCTATTACAGGCTAAAATGCGCTTCTGCACATATTGATTTATGTCAGTTGTGCCATTTTATTTGTGAGTGTTCCATTTTTATCCTGTCTTTATCTATTGTAAATTAAAGCTGTTTTGCACTATGATATTTATTTTTATTTTTATGTGAGTTCTAGAAGCTCATCATTCTGCTGGTAATTATACACATCACTGTGTTTGTGATAGTGGCGCCCTACACTGTATTTGCACTTTGTTGTTGTACAGTATTTGTAAGCATTTGCAACACTTACAACAATCAAGTAACACATTCATATAAAATGTAAGTTACTTAGCCATTCAATGGATGGGAATGAGTAAGTAGATAACTCCCTAATTCCCACGGTATATTCATGCCGCGAGTAGTGGTATGTCTAGTAAACAGTGAGCAGCCTGTGGCCCCCTCCCGAGCCCCCACCCGTGCCGCATGAGTGGGGGCTTCTTACCTATAGGGGGACCTATTGCCCCCTCCCCCCCTGGTCCCCACCTCTGGGCAGCAGGTGGGGGCCCTAAAGTAAAAAAAAAAGGGGGGCGTGGTCTGGACGCCGAGGTGCATGGCCGCATGAGCGCTGAGCTCCAGCACTGACCGGGAGACTTAGGGGTAAAACGGCAACACAATCACGCAGATGGCGACGAAAAAGCAGCGCAGCACGTTGGGGAACCCCCCCGCGACCGACCAGCCGTCAGCCAAATCCTCCCTGAGGAGATTGTTCGGCGATCAGACAGACCCACACAAACGGGACAAAATGGCGCCCGCGGCACATGTGCGCGGCAGCCGGCCATCCAGCCCGACGGCCTCAGACGGATCTAATGAGGATCAAGAGATCAGGGCATTACTTCACCAACTACCCTCCAGGTCAGATATTGCAGCTATGTTTCAGAAACTGGAGGATAGCTTTGGGGAAAAATTACAGGCGGTCAGTGCAGAGGTACAGCACCTTGGAGCTAGGGTACAGGCCATGGAGGAGGAAATAGAAAATACTGACAAGCAATGGGCTGAATCATACACCACACAGGAGATGCATGCTGCAGCAATAAGGCACCTACAGAGGCAACTGGAAGATGTAGACAACAGGGGGCGCCGAAATAATTTGAGAGTGAGGGGCATACCAGAAGCCGCTGAAGGAAGCACTGAAAACCCCATTCAAATCCTCACCACGCTATTCAATCATGTTTTGTCCAGACCCCCTGATACAGTAATTGCCTTTGACAGGGCACACAGAGCCACCAGGCCCAGGAACTTAGCTCCAGATAAGCCAAGAGACCTAATCTGCCGGATCCACAACTTTCCCCTTAAAGAAGAAATATTTCATAAAGCCCGCCAAAATAAAAATCTATCAGTGAGTGGCCATACGGTGACGGTCTTTCAAGATATCTCACCTTCTACATTACTGGCGCGACGAGCCTTGAAACCCGTCACACAAGCCCTGATGGAGAAGAAAATTAGATTTCGCTGGGGCTTCCCGTTCGCATTGATTGTGAATCTTCCGGAGGGGTCTCATGTAATCACCTCACCAGCGGAGGTCCCAGGATTCCAGAAAGCGCTGAACCTGCCGATATCTGCCGTAGAGGACTGGACAGGACTTAACGGGTTCACGACCAAGCAAATCCCACAAAAATCTAAATGGCAAAAGACGCCACGGAAGAGACGAAGACAAACCCAACCTCACGCGGACAACGCTGCACCATCCAGGGAAGAGCCTGACTGAGAAGCTCTACGGTCGTATGCCAAAATTATATAACTGTCTATATTGCCATATAATTGCAATATGCTCACAAACTCTGATGTACTAACCTATAACTCACCATGCTGCCAACTTTAGTTATACTTTTTTATGTTTTTATACGCTATTTAACACCGTTATATTGTTTTACTGAAATTGCCATAACCAGGCCCAAAGCCTTAAATGTTATATGTTTGAACGTTTTGAATGACTACAGACGCGGAGGGCCCGGTCCACAGGGACTTACTTAACAACCTCACTAACCTCTGACCCACGGGTCCTTAGGACTAGAGGGACACAGAGACTATCAGTGTAGACCAGACAGTCCAGTGGAACCCCTGAGACCAACCCGGTCAGTCACCCGGACCACCACCCCAAGAGAGGCGCCCCGCAAACACTTGTGGACACGATGGCGTTACCCACAAGTGTAGCGCCAATCTCGCCGCACGATAGGTATCTGCCCTATCGTACTGCTGTATATAGTTTATACTTACCCCTGGTTCACCTTTCCCAAACCTATCCTGCCTATTTAGCCCACCTGACTCCCGTGCTGAACAACAAACGCTCTGACCCACCAGATAGGAGACCAGCCCATAAAACACTAAAATGACCCGGACTAAAATAATGTCCCTGAATGTGCGGGGACTGAACTCCCCTATGAAGCGCACTATGCTGGCGCAGGAGATAGATAGACAGAGGGCCGATATCATCTTACTGCAAGAGACACACCTTAGAGGGGACTTCCAACCGAAAATAAGCACTAAAGGTGCCCACACAGCATACTACAGTAATAACACTCACAAGAAAACCAGAGGGGTGGCAATACTTATAGCGTCTGGTGCCACCTTTGTGAAGTCAGATATTAAAACTGACCCCAATGGCAGATATGTGTTCATCAAAGGAGTCTATAACGGTACACTAGTGACCATAGCGAATATCTATGCTCCTAATGTTGATCAAACCCCCTATATCCGCTCCTACTTGACCAAATTGGAGGGATTTGCTGAGGGAGTGGTGATAGTGGGAGGGGATTGGAATATAGTACTTGATCATTCAATTGACAGCTCCTCTAAGGCTTCGGACACTAGACGCCACCAAAGACTCTTGCTCTCCAAACTGCTCCACTCACACCAGCTAGCAGACTGCTGGCGCACACTACACCCGCAGGACAAGGACTACACCTACTACTCTCAAACAGCTGACAGCTACTCTAGAATAGATATGGTTTTCATCAGTCATAGACATCTCCCCTTGCTGAATGAAGCATCCATAGGGCAAATCACATGGTCAGACCATGCCCCAGTATTCCTGACACTCACCATCCAAAATGAACCTAAACCTGCCTCTCATTGGCAATTAAACGAATCCTTATTAGATGACCCCAGGGTCCTGATAGACCTACGACAGACTTTGAATGATTATTTTACTGAAAACAGGAACAATGGGGTGTCGGACCCATGGGTCTGGGAGGCCCACAAAGGGGTCATCAGGGGCATCCTCATTAAGTGGGGATCTAGGATTAAAAAGGAACGATCGCGTAAAATTGATACCTTGACAGAGGCCATACAAGTAGCCGACACAAAACATAAACAATACCCAACAAGCGACAACTTTCAGACCCTGACTGCATTACGCATAGAACTTAGATCGTTACTGACTGGAAAGGCATATAGATCGGTACAATTAACGAAGACCACTTTTTACGCCCAAGGTAACAAAAGTGGGAAATTATTGGCCAAAGCTCTGAAAGCTAAACAACAAAGATCCTTTATTGACAAGATCTCAGATAGCACAGGGAAGGCGTGTAACACCACCGATGACATAGCAAAGGCATTCAATGCTTTTTACTCAAACTTATATAACCTAGCCTCCCCAAATGGCCAACTCCACAACTTAAGAGAATATGTCACTGCGCATCTCCCACGCACTATTCCGACTGCTGACTCGCACACACTAGACGAACCGTTCACACAGGAGGAGATACTAGCAACCATTAAGTCCCTACCGAAGGGGAAAAGTCCGGGCCCAGACGGGCTAACGGCAAGGTACTACCAAACATTATCACAGGAACTAACTCCTCATTTTCTACACACATTGAATGGCCTCAGCCACAACACGGTACTCCCACCCCCCATGCTCT